TTTTAAAATGTTTTAAACTAGTAAAACTCATGCTCCGGGTGCAGCTGGTTACAGATAGTTGCAGCAAACATTTTAATCCAATTCTCTTTGCAAATTCTGTTATGTGGATATGTTTACATGTGTTAATATAGAGACATGTTATTATGTGGCTGTCAGTCAAGATCAGTGGGAGGGGAAAACCACACTCCTGTCACATTGCATAACCACAGGGGTTTGGATCCTATTTTAATGTCAGGAAATTATAAAAAATAAACTTGTGTCTATATCACACCAATATGACTGTGGACATGCTATACCTACACACAGTTCTGTCCAAACTGCTTACAAATTTTGAGTTTGCATCATAGGTGGCCTTTACCATCCATTAACCTGTTCACAAACTAAAAGTGTAGTGAAATGTTGTGGTGTTGTGGTGAGGCATGTTTTGTGATGCTGTGGACTGCAGACTAACCACATTGTTCATTTGTTCATACATGTGTGGTTTCAGATGATATTTCTGTTCTTCCTCTGAAACAGGTGTTAAAGAAAATAACAAAGTGATCAGCTAACCTATCTCACATACACATGCACATTTCATTGCAGACATGATACACCATCTGCTTCTCACTTGGGTTTTATTTCACATCTCAGGTAAACTATTTTAGCTCTCTCTGAATCTCATAATTGAATTGAATTATACGGTAACATGGTCTGTTGCTTACTTAAAGTGATACAATTGTTTACCTTAAATATTTGTAATTCTTCAGTACCTTTACTTTAGTATGTAATGGAGAGTTGTGTTTTTTTTTTTTTTTTTTTCACTGAATCTGTTAGATGGATCTTGGCCTTATAATCTGAACATTAGAGTAAAATCTGGATCACCAGGCATTATTCCATGTCAGTATGAAGTAAAAAACAAAGCAAATCGCAAATACTGGTGTCAGGGGTCAGTTTGGAGCTCTTGCAGTGTGTTGGCGTATGCAAATGAAACAAGAAACAAGTTTTCCATCACTGATTATCCAGCACAGAGTGTTTTTACAGTGGAATGGCAGAATCTGCAGCCGTCAGACTCTGGATGTTACTGGTGCGCTGTAGAGATCAGTGGCACTGGGACACTAGACTCTGGTTATTATGTGTATCTGACAGTTCAATCAGGTAAAGGGCTTCTTCCTATTTTGCTTTTTTTCTGACAGACATATAATGTGAAATATTTCGTTAAATGTGATTGAGGTTTATTTCTGTTCATAAGTAAAGAACTGAAAAAAGGAGAATAAGACCAGTTAAGTGAAAATTAGTAATGAAAAATTCCATGTGGTCTCAATTATTTAATGGACCCACCCCCTTCAGGGGAACTTCAACATGTGTCTTCACACTTTGAGAGTGTTTGGAAAATGCCACAGCAGCTGAGCTCTTCATCCCCCTCATATGAAGCTTGCCCAGAATAGCATGTGTGCACAATTTGGAATTTAGAATTAGGGATTGTAAATGTGCTTTTACCTAGCTAATAGTCTAGGATTTTTTTTAAATACATCAGTCGACAGTTCATTGAGAAGGTGTGCCAATCCCCAAAGGGGAGGACACTGTGGAGGCCACCTGCAAGCCAAAAGAAAATATCTGATGGCAATATGGACATATGGGCTAGCCCTATCCAGGGCGAGCGCTATAAATGATAAGCTGGTTAGAGGGTCCGTCTGAGACCCCGTTTACACTAGTGCGTTTTAGTTTTAAAACAGCGTTTTAGAATGAAAACGATCCGCGTCCACACTCGCGTTTTACCCAGCGTTTCTGAACTGCTCTCCGTCCACACCAAAACACTGAAAACGCACATCACGTGACCACACACACTCTCGGGCAATCGCTACAGCCCATCTACCCAGATGAGAGCTGTGCTAGTCTGACTTCTCGGCAAGCATCTCCTGCTGGATCTAATCTCACTATATTTATTAAACGGGATATTTCATTCATCTTGGTGTCTTTATCTAACGACATATTCTCTGACTTTGGTCTTTTGAATTGATTACTTGTTCTCAGGTAACGTGTTTTGGCTAAGCGCAAAGATAAGTTAATGATTAATGTAACCACGTAGCCTATTCTGTATATTGACTGATCGCTTGCCTTTATTTCCTATAATGTATAAACTTATTGTATGTTATACTTTTATAATGGCCATTATCGATTATTAAAACTGATATTCAGCAAAAGAGAGGGTGTGTTTCGTATTTTCACTGAAATTGAAAGGAGGCAGTTGTTAATCGGCTCCGTTTTGTTATAAATATCCACACAGTGAAGATGACGCTCATGCAGCACGATGCCTCAACATTTCTGCTGTCTAAGTTGCTAATATTTAAATGAAAATAGGCAGTTCCTTAAATCATGTTTACATTTTATTGTTGAGAAAGTGAAACAACGTAGCCAGGGTGATGTGAATGAAGTTATAAAGTACACTGTTCCCTTTGAAGATTTACCCGTGTCCTCGGTATAGTCTGCTTTTCCATATCAAACTGAGAAGAAGAGACTGCAGCCTTGATCAAACTTGCGAAGTCTGAACTTACAAGGAGAGGATGCAGGACTGAACTGTGTGTGTAGGCTACTTAATATTCAGGAAAAGCCCCAATCAGAGAGGCAAATGTCTGCAGCCCCGCCTTTAGTTTCAAACTAAAACGCATTAGTGTAAACGGGGCCTGAGAAGAGGGTGAACACTCTACCGCTTTAAATACACACCCTTAAACTTAGGAGGCTGATTCCAAATTGAATTGCATAGTCTAGTCTGACCATCCGAATAAGCCACTGCAACATTCTGAGCAGCGCTTACCAGGCTGACTGAGACCAACTAGCAGCCTCACCAGAACATTCGCTGACGCACCCGCAGTGGGGCAAATTAGGGATCATGGATTTGCTCTTTCCTTCCTTCCAGGATCCTGCAAAGAGGCTGGAGTTGTGAGAAAAAGGGAGCCCGTCCTCTGGCGCCCTCAAAGCCTGTGGTGAAGTGCACCAATGCTGAGAGCCAGGGCTGGCAGCATTTGGGCTTCCACAAGTATAAATGCTCCTCTTAAATCACTACATTCATCTGCAGGGGAAATCCCTGGTCCTCCACCAGGGAAAGAATGGTCCTCCTCCTCTTCAAGTGGCCCACCTCAGAGTCGCTTTGCAGTCCGATTACCTTAACAGGAACCTGGGATGGGAGTGTCAACTTGCTGCAGGGAGCTTGTGTGATCCCTAGCCAATGTAATGAGCTGTGACAAGAAGAACACTGTTGGCGAGGAACAGCCAGCATGAACAGGCGTGGCAGGGGAGCAGTCCGAGCCCACCAGGAGATGACCTGCCCCATCACTCATGGCTGATCTCTCACTATGAGGACTCTTAAGTAAAGTCCCAGACAGTGTCAACGAATAGGTCTGCCTGGGATATGGGTGCGCCAAGAAAGCAAACTTTGTCAGTGTGGCACATATTTACCAGGGTAAGCCAAGGGTGGCGTTTACGGACCACTATGTGGCCATCATCCTCCCCAGGGCATGGGCGGTCAGCTTGAAGGTCTTTAGAGCATAGTCAGCCACTGTGCCAAGCTTATGCATACGCCTGGGGAAGAACTGGCTTTGTGCAGCACAGCCAGGTGGTACTGTGGTGCAGGGCAGAGGCGGCATGGCCCACAGTGGTGTGGGCTCTGGCCGTGAGAGACATAGATAGCCCACTTTTCTTGGATGAGGGTCTCAGCTTACCCCTTGGCAGTGCCCACATCCTGAGGAACAGCTTTGTAGCCACTGGCCACTTCGCCATCAAGGGAGGTGAGGGCGGAAGCACGCAAGGATCGGGCAAAGAAAAATGCACTCTTTGTCTGTGTGTACCCATAAAATTAAGGAGACGGGGGCTGGGAAGATTACTCTCTTATCAGTGCGCACATCACGTCACTCTAGGCGGTCCGACAGTGAGACTGAGGCCCCGTTTACACTAATGCGTTTTAGTTTGAAAACGCATAAGTTTTGCTACGGTTACGCCAACCGTCCACACTACGCCAGAGTTCTTGAGTGCCGAAAACAGAGCGTTTCGAAAACGCTGGAGAGGCCGTTTTCATTCTGAAACGCTTCATTCTGAATGCTGCAGACATTCGCCTCTCTGATTGGGGCTTTTCCTGAATATTAAGTAGCCTAACACACACAGTTCAGTCCTGCATCTTCTCCGTGTAAGTTCAGACTTCGCAAGTTTGATCAAGCCTGCAGTCTCTTCTTCTCAGTTTGATATGGAAAGCAGACTATACCGAGGACACGGGTAAATCTTCAAAGGGAACAGTGTACTTTATAACTTCATTCACATCACCCTGGCTTCATTGTTTCACTTTCTCATCAATAAAATGTAAACATGATTTAAGGAACTGCCTATTTTCATTTTAATATTAGCAACTTAGACAGCAGAAATGTTGAGGCGTCGTGCTGCATGAGCGTCATCTTCACTGTGTGGATATTTATAACAAAACGGAGCCGATAACAGCTGCCTCCTTTCAATTTCAGTGAAAATACGAAACACACCCTCTCTTTTGCTGAGTATCAGTTTTAATAATCGATAATGGCCATTATAAAAGTATAACATACAATAAGTTTATACATTATAGGAAATAAAGGCAAGCGATCAGTCAATATACAGAATAGGCTACGGGGTTACATTAATCATTAACAAAACAAGTTACCTGAGAACAAGTAATAGATTCCAATGACCAAAGTCAGGTAACATGTCGTTAGATAAAAACAACAAGATGAATGAAATATCCCGTTTAATAAATATAGTGAGATTAGATCCAGCGGGAGATGCTTGATGAGAAGTCCGACTAGCACAGCTCTCATCTGGGTAGATGGGCTGCAGCGCTTGCCCGAGATTATGTGTGTGGTCACGTGATGTGCATTTTCAGCGTTTTGGTGTGGACGGAGAGCAGTTCAGAAACGCTGGGTAAAACGCGAGTGTGGACGCGGATCGTTTTCATTCTAAAACGCCGTTTTGAAACTAAAACGCAGTAGTGTAAACGGGGCCTGAGGTACAAGCCATGTCAAACTCCACTGTCGAGGCAGCCCGGGAAGCACAACCAATCATGTCTGACTCAAGAATCGTGACCATGCATTGCATCTCATAAGGTGGTAGTGAGCTTGGTCTGTCATCTGAACGTGACAGCTCGCCCTCCAATGTTGCGATGTCTTTGGTGTCATCTATCAGAAGGCAACCCAGGGGATTAACCGACACAAACGCTTGAAGCTTGTATAGGGGGATACTCCTCCTGTGGAGGAGTGGGGGGTCCACAGGCCCGGAAACGTCAGATAAGTTCCCACTGTGATCCTTAGATCTGCCCGCGTGCTAAATTGGGATGCACTGATCCCAATACTTGGATTAAATATCAGTTTAATACCGCATATTTTTGCTGGATCGGGTATCGGCCAGCTGGTACTGATCCAAATTCTATCTTGCGCATGCTCTATATTCTGTGTAAGCCAACAAAAGTCATGAAGGTTAGCTTATAATAAAGCACTAGAAAGTTATCATGTAGGCCTTCTTTATCCCAAATGTTCTGAAGTCATTCTATAGTTTAATGTGAATTAGATGAATATTCAAGTGCGTTTATTTATGACAACGTGAAGTATCTTTATAGTGTCTTTATAAGATTAAGGCAAATAATTTGATTACTGATGTCCATGTAAACATGGTCAGTGAGAGCATGAGCTGTCTGCGAGCACTGCAAAGACACGCTGGACCCCCAAACCTGTGACGTAGTACCAATGCCAGTCATCCACAGATAAGAACGACTATATCTAGAAACGCACAGTCAGAACAGTGTCCTGAAAAAGACGTGTTGCCTGACTGTCTTGCTCTTTAGGGGAAATCTGCTCTTTTATTAGACTACTTTGTTAGAAGTATCCAGCAAAACACCCAGCTGAACAAGACTGGATTAATCTCAGCAGATGCTATCTCTTTTATCAATCAGGCTCTATTATCAGGCTCTGAAGCGAAGGATCTGACTGCTCACTCCGCGTGTGCTGGTTATATACTCTACTAATGATTAATCACCAGCACCTGCTGAGCTTAGCTCTGCCAACTTTTTGGCATCCATTGGCTTGTTTTCATTCTCTTGGTCATCTAGCGAACTCTCAAAGTGTGAAGAGACATGTTGAAGTTCCCCTGAAGAGGAACTGAACCTTGCAGTAACCCACACCACTCTTTTGATTGATATCCTAAATTACTGAAAACAAAAACAAGCAGCAAATATGTAAATGCATAATTAACATGGCAGTGCTTATTGCATTATATTTTCCATCTCTGAGACACAAGTCATTATGATGCCCTTAAACAGTTTCTTTCCCTTTTGCTGCAAATCTATTTTCTTTACAGATGTTTTGCAGATATTTTAGACGTTTTTACTGCACAAAAAAGTCTATTGTACTATCTTTTGATTGATCTTTACTCTTTTCAGATCCTGCTGTGTCTGTAATGAGCAGCAGTGTGTCTGCACATGAAGGTGATGGTGTAAGAGTCCAGTGTTTCTACACTTCTGGATATCAGAATGACTTCAAACACTGGTGCAGATATAAAGATCAGAGGTGTTTCACAAAGAAGAAGACTGACACATCCCAGAATTCATCAGTGCAGATCAGTGATGATGGTAAAAGCTCCTTCACTGTGCTGATGACTGGACTGACTCTCTCTGATTCTGGCTGGTATTTCTGCTCTGTTGGAGATCTGCAGGTTCATGTTCATCTCATTGTCACTAAACCTGGACCCAAAGGTAAGTTCACAACCATAAATGATGTCACTGATACTTCCTGAAAGCTAACCTCATTTTCTTTTCTCGTTACAAGCCTTGTCATCTATTGCAAAGACTCCATCATCTGCCTCTGGAACAGACCTGTAATATATATAATTTTTTTTTACGCAAAATTGTGTGATAAAATAATTCCTAAAAGTATTAATAAAATATCAAACAAAAAAAAAAAGATTTATTACATTTGTATGCACAGTGCATCCGGAAAGTATTCATAGCGCTTCACTTTTTCCACATTTTTCATGTTACAGCCTTATTCCAAAATGGATTCAATTAATTTATTTCCTCATAATTCTGCACGCAATACTCCATAATGACACTGTGAAAAAAGAGTTTTTGAAATTGTTGCAAATTTATTCAAAATAAAAAACCTGAAAAATCACATGTACATAAATATTCACAGCCTTTGCCATGAAGTTCTAAATTGAGCTCAGGTACATTCTGTTTCCACTGATCATTCTTGAGATGTTTCAGCAGCTTGATTGGAGTTCACCTGTGGTAAATTCTTTGGAAGTTCAACCTGCCACAGAAGCTGCTCGTACAGTTCTACTCAGCTGTCATCCAATCCATCCTCTGCTTTTCAAATCACCATCTGGTTCGGCTCAGCTGCCAAAACCGACCTCCGTAGACTACAGCAAATAGTCCAGACTGCTGAACGTATCACTGGTACTACCCTTCCTACACTTCAAGAACTGTACTCTTCCAGAGTGAGTAAAAGGGCTTGCAAAATTACTCTGGATGCCTCGCACCCAGCACACAACCTGTTCGAACTGTTACCGTCTGGTCGGCACTAAAGAGCACCAAGCACAAAAACAGCCAGACACAGGAAAAGTTTCTTTCTTCAGGTCATCTACCCTATGAACATTTAAACATTCCCCTACTGTGCAATAAACATGTGCAATACTTTCTCATACGCACTTGTACACAGCACCTTATATCAATATACAATGCAATACTTTCTCCTGCATTTGTACACAGCACCTCATAACCTGTATATTTATAACAAATCTGTACATACAACTCAACATCCAGATTTCTCGACTAACTGCATCTCTGTTTAATGTTTATCGTCTTTTCTCATATTTATTTTTGTGTTGTCACTTTATGTACACTGGAAGCTTCTGTAGCTAAAACGAATTCCTTGTGTGTGTGAAGCACACTTGGCAATAAAACTGATTCTGATTCTGTTGATTGGACATGAGTTGAAAAGGCTATTTAAGTCTATATAAGGACCCAGGGTTGACAGTGCATGTCAAAGCACAAACCAAGCATGAAAAAGACAAAGGGATTGTCTGTAGACCTCCGAGACAGGATTGTCCCAAGGCACAAGGCTGGAGAAGGTTACAGAAAAATTTCTGCTGCTCAGGTGTGCCTAGCTTGTGGCATCATATTCAAAAAGACTTGAGGCTGCAATTGCTGCCAAAGGTGCATCAACAAAGTATTGAGCAAAGGCTGTGACTAATTCTGTACATGTGATTTTTCAGGTTTTTTATTTGTAATAAATTTGCTACAATTTCAAAAACTCTTTTTTTCACATTGTCATTATGGAGTGTTGTGTGTAGAATGTTGAGGAAATAAATTAATGTAATTTATTTTGGAATAAATTATTAATGGAACAATAGCTTTTACATAAAAAATTGGTAAAGTGAAGCCCTATGAATATATATATATATATATATATATATATATATATATATATATATATATATATATATATATATATAATAAAATATAATTTTATAGCCCCGTAATATATGATTTTTTGTTTTGTTTCTATTTGAGAGAGATTTATAAAAATATTTTACTTTAGAATCTCGCATTCAATTTGGCACACGAGTGTTAGAAAATAAATAATTTTACATATTGTGTAAAATTATTCATGTGACCTAATTTTGTGACAGAAATTTGGTCTTCATGTCTGTCTGCTGATCCTCTGCACGTGTTTAATCTTTCAGAATGAACAAGGAGCATTTCTGTCTGTCAAAGAACTAGAGGTGTTTCTCCACATCCTGAAGAATCAGAGAATTAGAGAAGACTTGATATTAAACAGCTTTATTTCGTGGCCTAATGGTTAGAGAATTGGACTTGATATAAAAGGTGTTTGTGCGTGTGCGCAGTTGAATGGGTTAATGCAGAGCACAAGTTCTGATGGGACACCATACTTGACCACATGTCATGGTTTCTTTTTCTTTCTTTTTTAAAATCAGTTTTGTTTAGTTGTGCACTTCCATAATATTAAATCTGTGCAACAATGTTTATGTTCAGAGAAATATGTCATGTTAACCATGGTATGTTACGTGTCACTTTGTCATGTGTCATCATAACCTTTCATACGTTCCCCAGCTCATTTCTAATGTTGTGACTATTTTTTGCAAGCTGGTGACTGTTTTCATTGTATCATTTTGTTACAATCATATTTTACTATAGCAGCTAATAAAATTATCGTTTGAATCCCAAACTAATGTGTAATACATGTTTAATATTAAAGAGCCCATATTATACATGAAAAAGATCTGCGTGCAAGGTCAAAAAACACTTTCATGGTCTTAAAATATTAATTTATTTTTATCTAATTGACCCAGTGACTCCCATATAAATCGTTCAGCGATTCATTTGTTCCCAAACCCCTTCTAAGCGCGAAGCTAATCTGCCGATGACAGCCTGTTTTGATTGGTCGACAGCGTTCAGCGTGAGACAAATGCCCAATGCGGTTTGTCAAGCCCCCGGGTCCCCAACATTGGTATATGATCCGATCGCAGCGGACGCCCGAAACACACTTCATAGTAAAACTTACTCAACAGTGTTATTCAGACACCTTACCCCCAAAAGCAGTGTAGTCAAACACCAGCATATTGCTCCATTTCTAACTATGACACACATTCAGTATTAATCCACACAGCAGCAAAAGCTGAACTATTCTGAACCTTGACCACCACACGTGTGTAGGAACAGTTGACGGTGGCCATAGCAATGACGAACGGCAGTGGAACACGAGCTTACAAACACCGGCAGCTAGCTCTCTGCAACCTTTCACATGGTTGCCCACTGAAGCTTAGCAGGGCTGTGCCCGGTCAGTACCTTAATGGGAGACCACATGGGAAAGCTAGGTTGCTGCCGGAAGTAGTGTTAGTTAGGCCAGTAGGGGCACTCAACCTGTTGTCTGTGTGGGTCCTAATGCCCCAATATAGTGACGGGGACTCAATACTCCTCAGTGAGCGCCGTCTTAAGGATGAGACGTTAAACCGAGGTCCCGACTCTCTGTGGTCATTAAAAATCCCAGGGTGTCCTTCAAAAAAAGAGTAGGGGTTTAACCACGGCATCATGGCCAAATCTGCCCACTGGCCTCTGTCCATCATGGCCATTGAGTGCCCAGAAAAGCGCTATGTAAATGTAAGGAATTATTATTATTATTAAAATCTGTAAAGAAAAGCAGCATGTGTCGCGTTTCAACGTGGCATTAGACACGATATGAGAATATAAAGAGTTAACCAGATACAGTACAAGCGGTTACAAGTAACAAAACACAAATAAATACAGAAATTGCAAGCTAGAGAAAACAAGGAGACAGCCTTTCGCTAACATTTATGAAATGGGCCAGGTCTGATTTCTGTAATTATCTTTCATTTTGGACCTTTTCTCCCTTCTCAGCTGTAACTTAAATCATTTCTATTTGCAATCATTGCTGTGGCACCTCTTGCGTGAAATTATGTGGTATATGTTCTGAAGGCTTACCTGTACTCTGCTTTGCCCAACAATAATAACCCCAGCCAGGGGGTTGTAGCGCTCACCAGTGCTCCTCCTCAGTGTCCAGCAGGCTGCCTTTGTGCCTAATAAACTGACCTTATTTTGCACGCACCCCTGGTGTATTGTCTGTCCATTCTCACAAGTCTCATACATCAGTCTTTTCTGATCCTTCCTTTAACAAAGGAATGAATCGCCCACTGTAAGCGTGTAGACTGATGAATCAATGATTTCCCCTCACACTTCCTGTAATATCCAGGTAAGCACAGCGTCTTCTTGACTCATGACTTCAGAATCTGTTTGTCTTTGCTGCTGTGTTAGTGGGCGGGGCGCAGGTTTAAATTTTTATAGTCACATCACGTCGAAACGGCTTAAGACTCAGTATGAAGTCAATTCATTCTAACCACTTTGAGCCGACTCTTTTTTTTTTTTTTTAGATGAATCAATAATTTTAAAAACTGTCCACTTTCAGATTTAAGCCTTAGCTGGACATTTCACTTCACTTGGAGCTGTGTTACACAACATATGGTGTTGTGAATATGTTATCTGTTGGTAAGTCACTGTGACCGGTCCTCGCTTTACTCTGCGTTGTGTTGTGATTAGGCGAAAGGAACCAGTCATATGGGAATTAACAGGCTTTTATTCTGTATGAATAAAGCAAACAAATGGCAAAGCTGATTATGTGCCTTCCTTAGGAGCTCACCAACCTCTCCTCAATCGCGTTTGCCGCGAACTCACATAAATAAAGTTGAAGTGTGTTTAACATACACTAAAAAAAAAGAAACATTATACATAAATTCAAAAACATAACAGAAGCATAAACACATATGTAAACACATACCTGTATGAATAAAGCAAACAAATGGCAAAGCTGATTATGTGCCTTCCTTAGGAGCTCACCAACCTCTCCTCAATCGCGTTTGCCGCGAACTCACATAAATAAAGTTGAAGTGTGTTTAACATACACCAAAAAAAAAAAGAAACATTATACATAAATTCAAAAACATAACAGAAGCATAAACACATATGTAAACACATACCTGTATGAATAAAGCAAACAAATGGCAAAGCTGATTATGTGCCTTCCTTAGGAGCTCACCAACCTATTAGTGAAAGAGATAATTCTCACTACAAAGCTTGCACATTCATGCTTATAAACTTTACCCACAATACATGCCTCATATACATTCAACCTCTCATACATGTTTAAACATCAATGTAATGCAATTTAGAACACCATTACATGTGTTATCATGATAAACAACACTTATATGCTATATTTTAACCGGAGCTTCAGTAAAACTCACCTCTCCTCAATCGCGTTTGCCGCGAACTGAGTGAGAGCAGGCGGAACCTGAAAATGACACTTAAAGGGGCACAACTATGATTTCATTAACTCTGAAATATAAGATATTTAAAGAACAACTTTGAAAATACACAATTAAATAAAAATAATTGATGAATAACAAGGAGAATTTTGAGTGAAATTAATAAAAATAACATAACACCTGTTACATTACGAAATTTCCAAAGGTGAAGTTTTTAAACTAATTTCAAGAGGAACACTTGATATAATTGACTGCAGCTGGCCGCCTATCTACACTCATTAGTTAGCCAATCAGATCTATCCTAACTTACTATAAATAGCCTAGCTAGACATTACTCCCTTATCTTCGTTTTCCGAAGAAACCCCCCATCCACACCCTTTCTCCTCCTTTCCTCCTTTAAAAAGGGGATCTCTCAAGAACCACCTGATCTCGTACTCCCCTCTCATGCTCTTTGGACCTGGCGGGAGCCCTGGGCTCAACTATCTCCGAGCTCAGGGTTCTCTCCCGGGACAGAATGCCAAACCTGCTTGTCAAGCAATATCTAAGTGTGAACTCTTGAAATGACTAATATGTTACGAAACTGTTACGCTAGCTGGGTGTACATATATTTATTTTGTTAGCTGATTTGCTTGTTAATTTTTTTATTTGTTGACAATTTTAAAAACTTTTAAAGTAAAACAATATAAAAGGTTAGAAATCTAAAATAAAGATAAGTAAATAATACATAAACATTTCCATATTAATCCTAACATTTTGGTTAGTTTTTATGAGTCCAGTATAACAGTTGGGTTACAACCCTGTTTAGCCATCGTCTTTCCTCATGCAAAGTTTAAGGATACGTTATGTATATAAAATTATCAGACTGAACAAGAGAACCTGCTGATTCAGATAACACACTACTGTCATTTGACATCCATTAACCTGTTCACAAAAGGAAAACTCAGAAGTGAAATGTTGTCGTGTTGTGGTGAGACATGATTTGTGATGTTGTGGGCTGAAGATAACCCACTTTGTTCATTTGTTCACAAGGTGTGGTTTTAGATGGTATTTCTGTTCTTCCTCGGAAACCTATCATACACTCACACACTCCCCTGCAGACATGATTCATCTTCTGGTTCTCGCTGGGGTTTCACTTCAAATCTCAGGTAAACCATTTTAAATCTCTCTAAATTACATAACTGACTTGGATTATACTGTTATATGGTCTGTAGTTTACTTAAAGTTTTTTCCTGTTATTGTTCAGTATACATTACCTTTACTTAATGAGAAGTTCTTCTGTTTTTTTTTTTCTTAATCTTTTAGATGAAGCTTGGGTTTATGATGTGAATATTGGAGTAAAATCTGGATCACCTGGCATAATTCCATGTGTATATAAAGAAAAACTCAAAGCAAATCGTAAATACTGGTGTCAGGGGTCAGTTTGGAGCTCTTGCACTATATTAGCATATGCAAATGAAACAAGAAACAAATTCTCCATCACTGATTATCCAGAGCAAAGTGTCTTTACAGTGGAATGGCAGACTCTGCAGCCGTCAGACTCTGGATGTTACTGGTGTGCTGTAGAGATCAATGGCTATGGGACCGTAGATGATGGTTATCATATGTATCTAACGGTACAATCAGGTAAAAAAAAAGTCTTTAAATTTGCTGTTTTTTCTAAGAGACAAATAATGTGTTAATATTGTGATTGTGTTAAGTGTGTTTGAAGTTTATTTCTGAGCTGAAAAAAAGAGAATAAAAGACAAGTGTAGGCCGTGATTGATTAAATTGCTCGTGGCCCCACGTACTGTGGGTCTACCGTATATTTAATTGATGAGATATCATGTCTGTTCTTCTATCAAATAATATCTAATCGATCTGACTCATTATTCCTATGAATAATATCAGTTTTTTAGAAGAGTTTCTCAAGTGAATCAGATCAGAAACAAAGTAAAATAATCAAAAACCCTCAATAGTCATTACCTCTCTTCTAAGGGCCCTCCATTGGCTGCCCATCCATTTCAGAATTTATTTTAAAGTGATTTTACTGGTATTTAAATCCCTTTACCATCTAGCCCCAACATATCTCTCATAGCTGTTGCATCTTTACACCCCATAAGATCTCTTAGATCAAGTAATTTAAGGTGCTTTTACACCTGTGAATTGATTCAATTGTCCTGAAACAGAGATTACAAATGTTAAATTGTTGCTCTTTGTTTTTGGTGCGTTTCGCTTTCACACTGCAAAGTTTCTAAATCAACCAAAAGAGCTAAAACAAGTCATGTGTGAGTAAACTCTCCTCATATTGGTCAGAGTTTCACGGTTTATTTTGCAGAGTCCCGCTCAGCTGTCAGGGGGGTGGTGGTTTGGTGGTGTTTGACAGGGAGCCCCACGTGTCTAAAGAGCGAGGAGGTATGCTGTAGGCAGGGGTGAGAAGGGTGCGTGACATACTTGAGGACCGGGAGTGAGACGCGTGAATTCCAGGAGATTATTACTCATTTGCGGGCATCTGGGTGTCTCTCTGCATTTGCGGGAGACTCCTAAAACTTCCGGGAGACTTGGGATGTCTGGAATGACCTCCCACCCTACTCATAATTCTCTTTACATATAGCCGTATGCCTATTACATATGCATAAAACCCTGTGATGTAACCGGGCTCAGATTGTATCACTTTCTCACTACATTCGATCCGCTCCAGAGTTCGTTTCAATCAAGCTGAGACCACCTCATTCAAGCGATCTCGAAGTGATTGTTTTGGCGCGGATCCGAGAGCAAATTGCTGAATTAACCAACCCAGGCTCATTCTGGAAACATAGCCCTGCCGACGTTTCTGGAGACTGCGAAATATGTCCTCGAAGGTACATACTTGTGCAGTTTTTGCGAATCTTGTGAGCGCGCCATTTGTGCTTGCGCTATTCTCTCGTAAAAAGCCGCCAAAGGCCGCTGTTAAGAAACCGTCTGTCCGACTGACTGACTGGGCGGCTGGCCAATCGGCCGACCCAGCCACCCTCCTCCTCCTCCCCCTCCTTCCCTAAACCCAAGCGACGATTTACAAAAGCCATCCAGAAAAAGAAAAGCCTTCGTCTGATTTTGAACTTGTTTTCGGATTTCACTGCATTCTTGCCCCGTTATGAACTCATTCGCTTTATTTTTTGGATTCTGTTTTTTGTCTTACCTGATTTCTGGAAGTCGATGTATAGGATCAACCTGGACCATACGCTATACGCTACTTGGACCATACGCCATACGCCATACGCTACTTGAAAACTACAGACCAGTATCCCTGCTTCCATTCATGGCCAAGATTCTGGAGAAAGTAGTGTTCAATCAAGTCCTGGACTTTCTTACTCAAAACAATCTCATGGACAACAAGCAATCCGGCTTTAAGAAAGGCCACTCAACTGAAACTGCCCTGCTCTCGGTCGTGGAGGATCTCAGACTGGCCACTTCTCTTCTCCATCTACACATCATCTCTAGGACCAGTCATCCAGAGACATGGATTCTCCTACCACTGCTATGCTGATGACACCCAGCTATACCTCTCTTTTCATCCTGATGATCCCTCGGTTCCAGCTCGTATCTCAGCCTGCCTGTTGGATATTTCACACTGGATGAAAGATCATCATCTTCAGCTGAACCTCGCAAAAACGGAAATGCTTGTAGTTTCTGCCAACCCGACTCTACACCATAACTTTTCAATCCAGATGGATGGGGCAACCATTACTGCATCCAAAATGGTGAAAAGCCTTGGAGTAACGATTGATGACCAACTAAACTTCTCTGACCACATTTCTAGAACTGCTCGATCGTGCAGATTTGCACTCTATAACATCAGAAAGATCCGACCCTTCTTATCTGAACATGCAGCTCAACTCCTTGTTCAAGCTCTTGTTCTCTCCAAACTGGATTACTGCAACTCTCTACTAGCTGGGCTTCCAGCTAACTCTATCAAGCCTCTTCAGCTGCTCCAGAATGCAGCAGCACGAGTTGTCTTCAATGAACCTAAACGAGCACATGTCACTCCGCTGCTAGTCCGTTTGCACTGGCTGCCAGTTGCTGCTCGCATCAAATTCAAAACTCTGATGTTTGCCTACAAAGTGACTTCTGGCCTAGCACCTTCTTATCTGCACTCACTTCTGCAGATCTATGTGCCCTCCAGAAACTTGCGTTCTGTGAATGAACGTCGCCTCGTGGTTCCATCCCAAAGAGGGAAAAAATCACTTTCGCGAACGCTCACGCTCAATCTGCCCAGTTGGTGGAATGAACTCCCTAACTGCATCAGAACTGCAGAGTCACTCGCTATTTTCAAGAAACGACTAAAAACTCAACTATTTAGTCTCCACTTCACTTCCTAAGCTGCAATTGCCTCTTTGAATATCACACTAATTGTACAAAAAAAAAAAAAAAAAAAAAAAAAACTACTAACACTTCCCTTCTTAGACTTTACAGACCTGAAACTTGCCTTTAGTACTTATTCATTGTTGCTCTTAGTTGTGTAAATTGCTTCCTTGTCCTCATTTGTAAGTCGCTTTGGATAAAAGCGTCTGCTAAATGACTAAATGTAAATGTAAAATGTAAATATAGGACAAATATACAGTACAATGACTTAATGCATTATTCTGACAGCCTGTCTTTAATTGTGCCAGTCTGAAACAATAAACAGACTAAACATATTCGCTATAAATGCTGAAGCAGAGGTGTTTTAGTGTTTCGAGTGTTAGCGAGTTATCTGTGCAGTAAAACTATGTATTGTCTACTTGACTGTTTTCAGCTTATGGTGTGTTTGTGAAGAGCAGCAGTGTATCTGGACATGAAGGTGGTGATGTCAGTGTTCAGTGTATCTACAGTGATATATACAGGAATACAATAAAACAATGGTGCAGAGTTAAAGATAAGCGCTGTTACGCAGTGGAGAGATCTGACACATCCCAGAATCCATCAGTGCAGATCAGTGATGATGGTGAAAGCTCCTTCACTGTGCTGATGACTCGACTGAGACTCTCTGATTCTGGATGGTATTTCTGCTCTGTTGAAGATCTGCAGGTTCT